AGAAAATGATCGATAGATTAAAAACGATCTGATAATTATTGACTAAATGTCTAAATGTGCTAGATATATGATTTTTTATAAGGTAGATATGGGTATTATGGAGAGTATAGTTATTGTGATGGATTGAGATATCTCATAATCTAGTAATCAGAATTGAGAAATTTTTATATTATTCAATTCATCTCATTAAGAGTAAAAATAATTCAATTCTGATTACTAGGTCGTGAGATATCCTCAATAAACTATAATATCCACCTTTGTTATATTCTCTCTATCATAATATTTGGATAAGAATATATCACTATCTAATGATCAGAATTGAGCGATTTTATGTTATTTAATTCATTTTAATGAGACGAATCAAATGATGTAAAAATCGCTCAATTCTGATCACTGTATCGTGAGATATCTCTCAATTCATCACAATATCCATAATGCTAAACACATTGAATTTTTAAGTGTATTGTACAAACTATTAAATAGCAAACATTTAAATAAAATAGTATGTTCTTTTTTGTTAATTTAAAGTAAATTAAAGACTGTATTAGTTCAATAAATTTTGTAAGTAACTGAGCTTTTTTGGATCACTACTTTTAATCCCCACCATAATACCCATATCTATCGTATACATATTCTCAAAATCCTAAGTATTGAATTTTTACAATTTTCAAGTAAAATTCGCAAATAAATCAAATCGATGTTTGTTTTCTCTATTACTCGATTTCTAAGCATGCTAAAAATATAAAACTTTACATATATATTTGCCAAAGCCTAAGCTTTAAGATAATATAAATTTTACACATTTTTAATATGTATGTATTTGAGCAATTAATGGTGCCCAGTGACATTTGTCAATGAGTGTATCTTGTAGTGCAGAGATGCATGATACTGAGTTGTCTCGTTTGGATCATCAGCGAAATTAATAATTCATTTATAAAATGATACATGTAGTTTTAGTAATAAATTTAATTGTCATCCTAAAAAATTGTTAAGTTTATTATATTACTAGAATGCGTGCACTGTTGAGTACTAAATATTCAATGTTTGCTATCATTTGGAATATTTTGATGATGTTGATAATTAGGTGCAGGTTTGAAGCTTGCTTTGATATCATTTGTTGACATGTTTTCAATTCTATGTTAAAAAAATTCATTACGCCAAACTTACACGCATATATACACAAAAAACAAATGTGCCCATATCTATCTTCCAACCACAAAAACTCACACCTCACTATAATAATCAATTATGCGTCGCGAATTATCATATGCCACTCAAAAATATCACATTCATGATAATAATGATGATAAAAATTATTATGAGAATAGTTCTAATGAATGATTATTAGAATCTATACCAAACGAACAAGAGCATGATGAAAATTGATTTTTAATAATAATGTTACTGTAGTAACATTAAATCTTTTAATTCCCACATTAATATCTTTCCATAACTTCCTACATGATACGTAGTCCTTCCATAATCAGTCACTTGTATGATTCATATTGAAAGCCAAATTTAGAAATATTTCGTCATTATCTTTTCTTGTGTCATGAACATCCCATCTTTCTTCAATATTAATGCACGAAACGATAGTGATTATCAAGAGGGCGACAATTATCTGGACAATTGAAAGACATTGAACAATTATTGTTTAGCTGTTCTAAGAGAAACCATCAATATATAATACTAACCGAAGAATTAGCGTAGTGATATATATATATAATTACTTGGGGTCTCTGAGAAGACATGCTTTGATCGAATAAAATAACAAGTTTCTTACTTGTAAATACACTATTATTTTCTTTTGTTTTGTGATCAAACTTCAAACCTTGTGAGAAATTGCAAGTAGTGGATGCTCCTCCACTCTAAATAAGCCGTCGATTTCTTTGAATTGTTATTTTAGACAGGCCGTATCAATAAGTCCTGTAGAATTAATTTTATTACTTAGACAGGCCGTATTAATAAGCCCTGTTGAATTGCCTTTTAGTATTGAGTTTTTCTGTATCAATAAGTACTGTTATTTTGCGATTATATTGATTATTGTTGTTTAATAACAAGATTTTATTATCATATTGATTCGATTTTCGTTACAAGAGTGATTCTATTCTATTCTATTCCCCCAAATGCACTCCATCGTAAAGAAAAGGTCGATTTGTGTACAAGTCGTCACAAGAAACCTTTAGAACACCAAAAAAACCCTTTGATCGTAAATAATTTAGTCTAGCTCTCATCTCCGTTGCGAAAACCCCTCTTTAATGAATCATTATAGTAAAATCCAACAATACAAATACATGTAGAAGTGAAAATGAGAATGAAATTGGTAGAGATCAACATTTATACATGTATATAGAAGAATGATTGGGAACGAGACAGATGAAGAGTTTGATCAAAGACGAATCAAGTAAAGCGGAAACAAACGAAGAATAATGCAACATAAACCTATATTAATAACATTAGTAGTGATTATAAATATCAATTTTTATGATTCCGTATATACGTATCGGTATACAGTATTAATAAATACTAGTTAATATATGTGTATATGAGCGGTAATACTCTGTATAATTTTTGCTTGAAGTATCTACAGACAAACATGACAAACTATTTTGCAAACCACCACAGACTTGGATTGCAGCCAAATCAGTTCGTTTACAAGCATCAAGTGTATTGAGATTATGGCATTTGGCTACTTGATAATTGCTGCCAACGCAGTCAGATGAAAGAGAACAATTCTTATTATCTTTAGCACAACAATATAATTTGTCAGCTATAATTTTTTCCGCTTCTACTTAGCTACAAATTGAAGTTTTATTACCACTAAAATTACTAATAGGTTTGTACATAATGAATTGTTTGAGCTTCTTCAAAGCAATTATATTATTTATATATATACTGTCTAGCGTGATAAATACTGCACTGTAAATCAAGAACAAAACATTATGGCCACAATTTAAATTTTAAATATTTTTATATTGATGGGTATAAAAAAATTATTTAGAAATGTTTGTTATAATTTAGGTCATTCAAATAATTTCAGTTTGAGTTTTGTCACTATTAAAATAGAGTGTAGATAGTTTCGGACCACTGTGGACGGACGAACCTATTGGACAAAACCACTAATAAACAGTTTCGGGACCCATCTTTACTGCACTGACAAATGTTACCGTTACATTGATTTAGCCTATTTGTTTTTAGTAAAGTATTTGTTTCACAGACAAACACTTTGGAAATAACTTTATTTACATTCGCCCGCAACTAATACTTTCTGCCGGAAATAGCAATAGAAATTGTGTAGTGAACCTGTAAGAGAACAATAGTTAAACTTTCTAATACTCCTCATAGAGTATTAGCCTGCATGTTATCTTCTTTAATTTGTTACAATAATATAAAAACTTTCCGCTGGAATTGGCAATAGCGAGAGGTATCAACCTTCAAGATAATGATAGTTATACTTAATACCACACATAGAGTATTGACCAGCATTTTCCCTTCTTATTGAGCCTTTAATTGGTTACAATAATCTAGAAACTTATTGGTACAACCTTTTTTTTAAATTCGTACCAACCATGTTAATAAAAAATTACGAGAATAGATGTGATGGTTCACCGTAGATTGGCTTTCAAAGTTTTAGTTCTTACATAATCAATTTATCGAAACTTTGGTTTAGAGAATTAAATTGAGTTTAATTATATGTAGAGCGGAACAACATAAACCAACACCCCCGAACGTTAAACAAAAAGACCTGTTCTAGCCAAATTGTAACTATAACGATAAAAAGAGAACATTTTTGCTAGAACAATTTTTTTGTTTATAACGATAATTTAAAATATAATTCAGGCGTATCGGTTTATGCTGTCTTTGTTTTCACTAAAAGAGGAACTTGTACATGCATGTACAAGTACAGATTTGAATATAACGATAAAGTTCATGTTTTTTAATTTGTGTTGTTGCACTACGTTAATCATCCACTACATTATATCGCTATGTTTATCATCAACTACGAACATTGTACATGTATTACATGTACGTACCTATTTTGTCATGCATTTGACCACAGTTCGTATAAAGATAAAGTTCATGTCGCACTAACGTTAATCATCAATAAGATTATCGTTCTCATTATATTACCTATTTTGTCGACAGTTTTTCTCTTATGTAATGTGCAGCGAAGGTCATTTCTATTATGAATATCGATATGGAATGTCTGTAAATAATCACAATTACATGGTTCAGAAAAAATAAGTTATTGTTTCTAATGATAAAAGGTCATTCTTTGTTCGTCCTAAAATGAAAAATTGAGCGCTTATTTTTAACTTACAAAAAAGTTATTCCTGTAAAAAAATAGTTATTACATAAGTACGGAACGGGTTATGACTTAAAAGATTTTTCGAAATAACATGTAACATAGTATAGTTTAAGATAATCCATACCCTAACTCTTTTCCAGTACAATGAACGAAATAGTACAGTGCAAAATATAGTACTGCAGTGTTGGGAATTTGACGTCCAAAACTACTGTCCAAAACATTTTATGAACAAAAACAAGTCTGCATATTTAGGTAGATATATAGAGTATATAATTTTTTATATTTATTATTATTAATTAATTGTAAATGTTAAATAGCTTTGGACAAATTTTCAATTGTCCAAATTAGTTTTGGTGAAATTGTCTTTGATGCTTATTCTGCCACTCGAAAATTAAGTGATTTTAATTGATGAGCTGAACAAAATCGACATAGCCAAGCTCAAAAAAACTGGATAAATATATCTTGTTCTACATTTTTGATTTTTACTTGTTATTGGTGACTGCACGTCCTGTTATAACCAAAAAATATAAGTTTCTTGGAAGGTAGTTCGCAAATTATGGATCGTGGTAGTTTTATATCAATAGATTATAATAAATTCAACTAGCTAACTAACAATATATGGTTCTACACATATTTATACATAATAATCTCAGGAAGTGAGGCTAATAAACAACATCTTTATTTTTGAAAACTACGTAGTATCACCATTGATGGAAGCTGAATTCGAAGAAACTTCAACGTTAATATGACGAATTCTCCTTCGCAATTTGTAAATATTAAAGAAAGCTAAAGCAGCTATTATTCCCAGAACTCCTATACCAATAGCTAAGCCGATGATTACAGGTTTATCGTTATCGTTATCGTGAGAAACTGCAGTTGTGGTAGTGGTAGTGGTTGATATTACTGTGGTGGTTAGTCCTACTCCGCATAATTCCACTATGGGTTTTCGGGGAAGGTCTGCAATTACTTCGCCATTAGTAATATTGCGCCAATTACATCGATGCTCACTTTGAAATAAATCTCCACAAGTGAGATTAGCAATAGTTCCATTAGGATTGCTAGTATTACATGGACGGTAACTAGTTCCATCATCACAAACCGTTATGTTATTGGTTTCAGCTTCAGAACTGCGATTCACTATCCATTCAGCAGCTTTGGGAAAGCGGTAATACTCTGTATAATTTTTGCTTGAAGTATCTACAGACAAACATAACAAACTATTCTGCAAACCACCACAGACTTGGATTGCAGCCAAATCGGTTCGTTTACAAGCATCAAAGTTATTGAGAGTATGGCATTGAGCAACTTCAAAATTGTTGCCAAAGCAGTCAGATGTAAGAGAACAATTCTTATTATCTTTGGCACAACAATATAATTTGTTAGCTATAATTTTTCCCGTTTCTACTTGACTACAAATTGAAGTTCGATTACCGCTAGAATTACTAATAGGTTTAAACATATTGAATCATTTTAGCTTCTTCAAAAGAATTACGTTATTTATATATACTGTCTGGCGGGACAAATTTTATATTTTATAAATAATCTACTGACAAATGTTATACATGTATTTATTTAGCATGACGTTCTAATATCACTACCTGTATAAACACTGACAAATGTTACATTGATTTAGCCTATTACATGTACTTAGCAAGACTTTCTAAATGTCACTATATTTATAAACACTGACAAATGTTACATTGATTTAGCCTATTACTTTTATTAAAGTGCTTTACTTGCGAGAATAGGTGTGATGGTTCACAGCAGATTTGCTTTCAAAGTTTTAGTTCTTACATAATCAATGTTATCCAGACTTAGCATCGGAGTTTGGATTCGAAAATTCGATTTGTATCTTTTAAATATTTGAATCTAAAACATATGAATGTTATCGTTATTGTTTCTAATGATAAAAGATCATTTTTGTTCGCCCTAATATGGAAAATTGAACGTTTATTTTTAACTTACAAAAAAGTTATTCTTGTATTGTAAAAAATAATCATTACATAAGTTATGGCATAAACTATACTGTTGTTTATTGTACTGTACTATGCTACATGTATTTAGAAAAATCTTTTAAGATAACCTATATTCCGAATCCATACCCTAACACTTTTCCAGTATACATGTATTACAGTAGTATTAGGGATTTGATGTCCAAAATCGTCCAAAACTTTTATGAACAAAAACAAGTCTTTCATATTTAAGTAGATGTATTGAGTACCGTCAACGCTGGATATAACGAATACACTCTATAACGAACTTTTTTTGTAAAAATTTATTATAAATTCGTTATAAAAACATAGTAATTTGCTCTATGACGAACTTGTGAAAATTTTTTACTATTGGAACCGTGCAGTTTGGTATAGAAAGAGTTGACTGTATATAATTTTATACATGTTTTTTATAAAGTTAATTGTAAATGTCAAATAGTTTTGGATAAATTTTCAATTGTCAAAATTCCCAACACTGCTAGTACAGTACGCACGGAACTGATTAAAATTGTTCTGCATGGTAATCCTCTGTAAACAATTTTTATTGTATATTACATGCAATTGACATGATAGGAGAAATTCTTATTTTTCTCTCCAACAAATTAAATGTCTGACGACACTTATCTGAAAATTTCTTCTTATGATCCAACATCATCTGTGCTCATTGACATGTAAGCTATTAAAAAAATAAATTATAAAATAAAGCTTCGATTTATAATGCCTATATCGTTTCAAAAATAATAGGAAGTATTTGAGGTTGCGCGAAGGGAATTTTCTCCAACCTCAAAGAATTCTTTATTTTGTCATAATCAATTAATTCCAGTCGATTAAATTTTAATAATTCGAATCGCAAAATTTCAAACCTAGCCAACCTCGGTCTTTGAACCTAGTTTTGAGATAATATTAATATTTATTAAGATAATTTTATTTTGCATGGAACAATAGCATAGGTTAGGGATAAGAATCGATTCTCTAGAATCGATTAATTTAGAATCGATTAAAATTTGAGAATCGATTTTGAGGATCGATTCTCAAATTGAAAATCGATTAATCGAATTTATTTAAAACGATTAATCGATTAATTGAAATTATTAATCGATTTTAGAATCGATTCTGTGTTGAGAATTGATTCTTATCCCTAGCTTAGGTCCTTCCTAAACTTCTAATAGTGTTTTTAGAAATCTTTGGTGAAGTTATCTCTGATCTTATTCTACACTCGAAAAATAAAATGATTTTTATATTAATTGATGGTGTATTGCCGAACATAGCAAAAAAATTCTCAAGATCAAATAACAGCATAATATATCTCAGGTGATCTTATTCTACATTTTATACTTTTCGCTTATTATTGATGATTGCATATTATCTATTGTTCAATGTTTTGACCAAGTGGTAATGAAAAACGATACTGGCTGTGACCTAAAAAATATAGATTTCTTGTGTATGAAGGAGCAACCAGTTCTTGGAAGACATTTCGCAAATTATGGATTGTGGTAGTTTGTACATGTATACGTATTATTAGGTTACATATATCAATAGCAGATCACATATGTTGACTAAACTTTATTAGAAATGAATCTAGGATTCTACATATTTATGGTGCATAACATCTAAAGTCATAAATCGATTGTATTTTATGAAGTGTATTAACTGTTTTACTAAGAAGTAAATATAATATTTTAATTCGTAAATATGATAAAATAGGCCATTTCACGGATTAAATTATGTATTTACTTCTTAGTAAGATGTTTATACATTTTATAAAATACAAACGTTTGATGACTTTAGATGTTATGTACCATATACATAATTTTTTACAAAGTGAGGCTAATAAATAACATCTTTATTTTGAAACTAAGAAGTATCACTAACGGAAGAAGTGCTATTGATATCGGGCAAAATATTCCTCCTTCGCCATTTTCGAATAAAGAAGGCTGCTAAAGCAATGTCTATTATTCCCAGAACTCCAATACCATTAGCTAAGCCAATGATTACAAGCTTATCGTGAGAAACTACAGTTGTGGTTGGTCCTACTTCGCATAATTCTATTAAGGGTTTTCAGCGAAGCTCTGATTATTTGGCTATTAGTAATATTACGTCAATTACATCGATGTTCATTTTGAAGTAAATTCTCACAAGTCAAATTAGCAACAGTTCCGATAGAATTGCTAGTATTACAGGAACGGTAAATATCCCCATAATCATAAACCGTTATGATATTGGATTCAGCTTCAGTACCGCGATTCACCATCCATTCAGCAACTTTGGGAAAGCGGTAATATTTCGTATGCATTCTCATTGCTTACAGCATCTACAGACAAACAAAATAAACTATTTTGCAAACCAAGACGTGGATTGAAGCCAAATCAGTTCGTTTATAAGCATCAAGATTATTGAGTTTATGACATTGGGTTTAATGATACTTGACGGTGACGAAACCTTTCGTCACGACCATTTTGAAAATGTCTGTGACGAATGATGAAACCTTCTGACCAAATAAAATATATGTACTAGCTAGTAACCTGATGATGATGACCATTTTTGGAAATTAACGAATGCGTAAAATGCACATGTATTGATATTCGCGAAACACTTCGCCATGACCATATAATAATTTAAATTTTAAATTTAAATTTAATTCTAACTGAAACTTTGTTTTAAATATAATATATAATATTAAATAAAGTTGATATTTTGACCAATTTTAAATCAATTAACAATCAAAATTTTCAAATAGAATAATTTAATTTCATGTTTTAAGAATACTGAAGCAAAATAATAAATTAAGAATTAAATTAATTAAATAATTTTATAATTATTCAAATTAACTTAATCTATAATCTATATCTATAATACATTTAAGAATTGATCAAATTTTGTATAATGCTATTATATTAAATAAATACAATTAAATATTTTTTATTTTTTAATTTAATTCAGCAAAATATGGGTTATTTACTAATAATATTATTAATATAAAATCAAATTGAAAACTAGTCATAATCTGGAAAAATTTATAATATTAGCAAAATAAAAATAATAACCGAATTCACTTTTTATAACTAATAACTTATGTTTTTATTTTATTGGTGCTATTACAAATTTCAATTAGTTTTGATTTGATCTTATATTGGATCTACATATTTTATTGAATATTTATATTTTTGAAACAAATAATCAGATTTTTGCAATTTGTAATTCTATAATTAAATAAATATATATGTATTTACTAAAATCTATTTCTTTAGAGCATATATGATCTTATTCTATAAGTTTTTGTGAATTAATTAAACTGGGCGTCCAGTGATTTTGTCTAATAAGTATATACAATTCTCTAAAGCTTATAAGAACTAAAACTTTGAAAGCAAATCCACTGTGAACCATCACACCTATTCTCGCAATTTTTTTATTAACATGGTTTCATTACGTTTGATGATTGGCGTGATAAATTTATCATATGGTGCATAACATATAAAATCAATCAAATGTTTGTATTTTATAAAATGTATAAATTCTTTATTTACTAAGTGAATACAAAATTTAATCCGTAAATATGCTCAGAAATGGCTTATTATATCATATTCACGGATTAAATTTTGTATTTACTTCTTAATAAAGAAGTTTATATACATGTATTTTATTAAATACAAACATTAGATGTTATGCACCATACCAAATTATTTTTGAAGTCAGGTCCGATAAATCAATTCTAAAAATAACAGCGTAGCGTAGTACATGTAATTGAATTTGTTTCACAAATTAAACAAAACATGTTTTTACTGCTTTCCAAGACGCACATGCATGTATGGTGCATAACATCAAACGTTTTTGTTTTATAAAGTGTATAAAGATCTTTACTAAAAAGTAAATACAAAATTCAATCCGTTAATATAATAGGCCCTTTCTGAGAATATTCACGGATTAATTTTGTATTTCTTCTTAAAGATGTTTATACATTTTATTGTTTGACTGTGAAACAAATACTTTACTAAAAAGTAACAGTTTAGATTTGTCAGTGTTTACATTTACATGTATAAAGTCACGCCAGACTAAATAAATGTAGTATTCGTCAGTACAGTAATAAATTCAAAATCTGTCACGCCATAAAATACCTATAAATAATGTAATTGCTTTAAAGAAACTAAGATAATTCAATATGTATAAACCTGTTAGCAATTTTAACGGTAATAAAACTTCAATTTGTAGCCAAGTAGAAGCGGGAAAAATTATAGCTGGCAAATTATATTGTTGTGCTAAAGATAATAAGAATTGTTCACTCTCTTCATCTGACTGCATTGGCAGCAATAATGAAGTAGCCCAATGCGATAATCTAAATACTCTTGATGCTTGTAAACGAACCGATTCGGCTGCAATACAAGTCTGTGGTGGTTTGCAAAATAGTTTATTTTGTTTATCTGTAGATGCTATGGGAAGAAGGGATCCAGACTATTACCGCTTTCCCAAAGCTGCTGAATGGATGGTGAATCGCAGTACCGTAGCTGAATCCAGTAACATAACAGTTTGTGATGATGAAACTAGTTACCATCCATGCAATACTAGCAATCCTATCGGAACTGTTGCTAATTTGACTTGTGGGGATTTATTTCAAAATGAACATCGATGTCAATGGCGCAATACTACTTATCGCCAAATTCTCGCAGACCTTCCCCGAAAACCTGTAGTGGAATTATGCGTACCAATCACCACTGTAATATCAACAATCACCGCCACCACAACCCCAACTTTAGTTTCTCACGATAAGCCTGTAATCATTGGCTTAACTATTGGTATGATAATTCTGGGACTAATAATAATAGCTATTGTTTTTGCTGTCTTTATTCACAAAAAAGCAAATAATAATAATAATAATAATAATAATAATAATAATAATAATAATAATAATAATAATAATAATAATAATAAAAAAAAACTTCTTTTCGTAACTCTCCCCTGCAGATCTCTTGACCAGGTGGAGCAAAATTCTCAAGTACGAAAACTCCTTC